GCTACCAGTGTTTTCTACCAAACCAGGATAAGCTAAGTTATGTCGTAGTAGCAAAAAACTCCAAAATATCAGGGGCCTAAAATGACAAGGTTTGTTTCTCACTGACAGTATCCCTCCATTGCAGGTCACCTGAGAAGTCTACTCCACATTGTCTTTAACTCCAGGATCTGCCTGATAGCACAGCCACCACCTTGAGTATTGGTGGAGGGAAAGCCCATTGAGTGGCTCTTCACGTATTTGCCTGGAGATAGCATCTAACACATTGACATGGCCAAAGCAAGTCATATTGCTATTCCTAACTCCAGTTACAGATGGGGATGGGTGGTGGCAGTTCTATCATGTATCTTGAAAGAGACCAGGAAATCCATGGTGGATGACATGACCATACTTTTTACCCTGCTCAATTTTCCTAAAGCATTTATTTGCATCTGACATAATACATATTTACCTCGCTTTATATATTTTCTTTTCTCTCTTGTTTAGACTGTAAATACTACAAAAGGAGGGACTTTTTCAGTCATTTACTGCTGTACCCCAGGGCCTATGATAATGCATGGTCAATAGTAGGTGCTTATTACTTTAAGAGAATGATTGAGAATACTAAAGCAAGTCATTTGTTTATTCAGTTGGTGACATCTAAGCCAAGTTGGGAGTGTGGAGCAAGAAGGTTTGAGGAGAGAGTAGCAAGCAGATGGTATCAAATAAGAAGGTGAAGAGCAGACTTAGAGAGAAAAGCAGTCGAATTGCTGGTCAGTGGAGAGTGTCAGTTTGAGATTTGAGACCATGAACCTACAGTGAAATCTTACAGCTCAGTTGTGTGATTTTTTCCAGTAATGTTGAGTTGCCCTGGAAGAGGCAGGAATGATGGAACTCATTTTACAAAAATAGGTAGAAGCCCAGGTTGAAGAAGGAAACATGATCCTAGCTGCCCCTTCAAGGTGTACCTACATCCCCCCTGCTCCATCTTTGGTCCTGTCAGAATAATAAAGGAGCTTGCCTTTAACCAAGAACCCCATTCTCCTGAATGGTGTCATTACAGTGGTATGAGTAGTTTTCCCTATATTTATTCTTTATTTCATTTACTTCTCATAACACATTTGAGGTAGCTTTTCCTATCTTCATTTTACAGGTGAGGAAAACTGAAGGTTAAATTACTCAAGATAGAATTTAGATGGGTTAAGCTCACAGCCACGGTGCTCTGCTAGATTTTTGAGGTATACTCATTATATCTCCTGTACTTCTTGAGGCAATGGGGAGCTCTCTTATCTGGAGGATGGGGAGCTCTGTTAGCTTTTAGATTCCCTGGAGCCTTGATTGTATCTCAGTCATGAAGACATTGTGCAACCACTTTACTATTGGTTCCAATTTAGATGTTGCAAGACCAGAGAGGAAACAGTTGGTCTATTTTTATATACTTAAACAAGTGCAGTAACCACATTACCAACTGTAACTAGTAAATTCACTACCAGGGAATTTCTTATGAATATGATGAGACTGTACTTCACACAATCTGAGAAAGTTCTCATCGGTGATACTTTTCTGTGGTCTTGCCTGTTGATGATCTGAATGTTTCATAGGTGCAGGAGGCTATGCTAGGCTTTATTGCCAATATAGAGCAGAGAAGGCAGGTGGCCTCCCTTTAGGAATCTTTAATGTAGTCAGGATGGCAAAACAGGTACAAAACCCTGGATATTAAAGTTAACGCCTGGAAACAAGGGTGCAGAGTTGGGGAAAGGCCCCTCAGGCTAAAATGCTTCATTGATATGGTCAGTAATACTGTAATAACTGTGCATGGTGCCAAGTGGATACTAGACTTATGGGGGGAGTCACTTTGTAAGTTATATAAATGTCTAACCACTGTGCTGTACACCTGAAACTAATGTAATATTGCATGTCAATGTAATTGAAAAATAAAAAAATAAGGGTAAAGGGGGTCAAATATATGGTAATGGAAGGAGATTTGATTTTGGGTGGTGAACACACAGTGCAATATACAGATGATGATTATTGAATTGTACACTTGAAACCTATATAATTTTATTAATATCACCCCAATAAATTGAATAAAAATTTTTTAAAAATTAAAAAAATAATAAATAAATAAAATGCTTCACTGAGACACATGGAAGGAAGTGGAAATTGAGCTGTAATTTGATGGCTGCATAAGATTTAGACAAGGCTCTAAATGGAAAATGGACTTGGGCTCCAGACATACTCATGGTAGAAAATCTCAGTAGGCCACTGCAGTCTGCAGTGTTAGCAGTTTTAGTCATATATATATTTTTTTAATCCTCTGCATGCTCAGAAACTAACTGGTCGATTTGATAGAAAATATACTCTTCTATTTTGTCACACTTTGGTGACTATTTTCTGAAAGGTATTCTATGGAAGTTAATCGCTGTAAACATGGTTTGGTCTCATATAAGAGCCAACTGACAGTGAAGCCTCTGCCAGTGAATTCCCCTTGTTTTCCAATGCTCTTTGGTAACTTACTTCTGCAGGTATATATTTTGAAATATATGTTAATGAGGATTAAATTTTAGAGTTTGTGAAGTTAGTTTTCATTCTAATTTTTAAAAGTGAATTCACTTGCCTTTTAAATCTTAGAAACAATCATTCTAAAAGTGTTTTCCTTTCTCCCTCCAGACAAGGCACCTCTGTCTAAAAGTCTTTTACTGGTCCCCAGTGCCCTGTCTCTTTTGCTGGCCCTCCTCCTGCCACACTGTCAGAGATTTTTCGTGTATGACCTCCAAGCAGTCAAGGATGACTTCCAGGTGAGCTCTGCTTCTTTGGCCTTTGAGAGAGAGAAGGCAGATTTTTTTTCTTGATTTGCCTTTTCTTTCTGCTATTCTTAGTCCCTCAAAGCCTCTAAATTTGTAAGATATACTATTTATCATTAATATTTCATTAACAAGTAAGTTTCTAATTTTATTTATTGATATTTTCAGCAAAGCAGATTATAATAAAGCAATTGCAGTATTAAGCACATCTCTTCAGTTTCACTAATTTTACTCATGGAAATGCAATTTATAATTTCAAGAGAATTAAAAACAAATCTATTTTTTAATGATTTATTATACCTTTTTAACATTTTCTAAAACCTGTGTCAGTTTGAAAGCTTAGATGGTCTAAGCTCTTTTAGCTCTAACTGAATCTATGAATTACTTTTATAGTGGTGGTTAAACCAAGTAGGAAATTTCTCTTGGGTTTTTGCTCCTGGGAAGAGCAGAACTCTGATTTTCAAGATTGATGGGCTTATCTCATTGAAAATGCTTGTGCTGGGTCTTGTCTGTGGATTTTGGAATGTTAGTGCAAATTATGGTGTACAACCTGCCACTTTTCTTTGCTAAATACTTGGTTAGCCAATTTAAGCACAATAATTCACTTCTTGAATACTGACAGCTTTGCTTCATAATGATGTAATTAATACCATTGTTCACCTTGGCTTCACAAAGTTCTTGTGAAGGTCTTTCAGTTATTTATCCATATTACCACTTTCTGTCGGAATATAGTATAACTTCTGTATTATTTCTGTTGCTGTAATGCAATGGTTCTCAACATGGCTGCACATTAGAATCACCTGAATAAACTTTGAAATATATATATATATTTTTTACAGTACATATATTATTATTTAGCTATTAAAAGTAATAAAGTTCTAATACATGCTTAAACATGGACCTTGAAGACATTATGCAAAATGAAATAAGCAAGACGCAAAAGGAAATAAATACATTGTGCGATTCTACTTATATGAGGTACCTAGAATAGTCAAATTCTTAGAGGCATCAAGTAGAATAATGGTTACCAGAGGCTGAGGGGAGGGGAGAATGAGGAGTTTTTATTTCATGGATACAGAATTTCTGCTTGGGATTGTAAAAAAGATCTGGAAATAGTGGTGATGGGAGTATAACATTGTGAATGTTCTTAATGCCACTGAATATATTTAAAAATAATTAAAATGATAAATTTTATTTTATGTATGTTTTACCAATATAAAAACAACACAAAAAAAGAGATAAGGTTAATATTTGCTTTACCTATCTTATAAGGTAATTATGAGGGGGAAATATTATCAAAGCGTTTTTCAGATGTTATTGGGATTATCTTTAAAAATCTGGAAAATTTTAAGAAGACTCAAAATAGGCCTCTGAGTAGCTCTTTCTTCTGTGTATAGTCCTTCATATGTTTCTCACCCAACCAGAAATTGATTTAAATTAAGTTATTTAAAAAATTTGAACCTAGTAATATTTAGCAACAGTGACCATAAATTGCCTTGTACAAGTTACTATGAAGTGGATTGATCATTAAATTAAGCTCAAGAATGTATATTACTGATTTTATCCCTAAATTGCTTTTCAGTTACAATTTTGATTTAGTAGCATAAAAATGAACATCTGTTAGGCTTTCATTCAAGCTCATGTATATAATTTTTTAAATCATATTAAACATAGTCCTAAATTTTTACAGGAATTTTTTGTCGTCTTAGAATATATTTTCTTGTAATAATAAGCAAAAAAAATTTAAGTACCCTTTGTGCTGTTACATGGAAGGAATTTTTAATATGAGAGAGTTTAGCTCATTTCTTAGAGAAAACGCATATGTAGTTTTCCTTTTCTGTGTGCATAATTATTGTGCTTAAATTAGAGTTTAAAAAAATAAACAGTATAAAGTAAATGTAATAAACTTGCTGAGGAAGCTACCTGAACAAATCTTACTCTTATTTATTGTTCTTTTTAAAATCCCTATCTAGATTTGGAGGCTGATATGTGGAAGAATAATTTGCCTTGATTTGAAAGATACTTTCTGCAGTAGTCTGCTTATTTATAATTTTAGGATATTTGAAAGAAGATACGGAAGCAGAAAATTTGCAGTAAGTTTTTATGTATTTCCCTTTTGCTATTAAGTTATAGAGAAACATTTTTTTGTTATTCTTATATTTAAATAGTTTTATTTTGTTATTAACAATTATCTCTTAATTACATGGTCCTGTGTCTGAATTGGAACATTAATTTTAACCAAAGAAAAATTTTAAATTTAAGCCACTAGCATAATAAAATAAGGATGATAATAGATAATATCAGGTCTGAGTAGGTAATAAAAATTTTAATTAGGATTTTGACTTTAATGACATTTTAGTCACTTTTTTTGGTTAATTGGTTTTTGTGTTACTTGTTAAACATAAATCATGCTATATCTTTTCTTCAACATTCTTAGAAATTATGGAAGTTAATGAATTTGACCAATAAAGTATAGTATTACTCCCTTATTTTGAAAAGTTTATTCTAATAAAAACAAACTTAAAATATATATATATATCTGAGATTGTTCTAACTAAATAAAGGTTTATTTTTAGAAGACTCCTCTATATAATATACTTCCTGTTTAATTTTAGTCCTTTTTGCTGGGTTCCTGGGTTTTGTCAGCCTTGGTTGACTGCATCCTCGTTGAAGCTGTGTGGTATTCCTTTGGTATCACTGCATCCAGGAACTTGCCTTCTGGATTGTAAGTAGCTCTCAAAGATTAGCTTAATTTACAACTACTTAAATTTAATTTAAAGCATTATTGTACACGAAAGTCAGAAAAAGAATATTTTAACCTTTTAGATATAGCAAAATTGTTTTATGTATAAAAATCCAAACTATACTTACATTTTCATTATGTTCTTGAAACAATTTATTTTACACTCATTTCTTTTTTTACCTTTGAAATCCTATATTTTAGATAATTTTTAATGAATTTCCTGTTCAGTTTCTGAAGAGTAGAATTAATGTTGTGTATTTTTATAATGAAATTTTGTCTTTGAAATTTTGTGAACTAAGCACAAAAATACAAAATTTAGATCAGATTAGGAAACAAAAATGTGAAGTTTCTGAAGAATTTTTTTTTTTAGCATTTTATTTTAATTTATTATTAGTTTCAAGTATACAATACATTGGTTAGACATTTATATAGTTTATGAAACAATCTCCAATTACTTTATCACTCCTCTGGCTCTACACATAGCTATTACTGCTGACTATATTCCCTATGCCATGCTCTCCATCCCCATGACCATCTATCAACTACTAATTGGCATGAAAAATGATGTTTTTTAAAATTGATATTTTTTATACACTTCCACCAAAGATAAAGTCAGTATGTAGATTACAATGTAGCTAACCTGCAGCCACCAACCTAACTCAGATTATATATGCTTTCATATTGTGTTAATCTTTAAAAACAAAACAAAAAAACATGTATTAGTCTATGAAATATCTAGTATCTAGGAGCAGAGTTGTTAGCACATATAAGTGAACTTAAAGCATCTCTGAATTAAGTATCTGAGACTGTATTTGAGAGACACTTTGAAATAAAGAAACCAGATATTTAAACTTCTATGTGTATTAGCTTCAACCTTATTTTAATTTTGAATTTGTGTTTTTGAGACAATTGTATGTATCTTGATTCAAATTCACTTTGGTTCTCTATTTTAAAAATATGGTTAGTGATCTAATAGCTTTCATAATCACATTGTTAATATTTACAGTATAGCTGCCCTTTATGGGACTTACTGAATTATGGTTGGAATGAGTGTTGACCTTTAAGTGTTTTGATAATGTATGAGTCTGAATAATATTTGAATGGAGACATAAAATTCTTTGTCATAATTTTATTGCAGTTTTTGTTGAGTTCCACAGGTTGTAATTGTATTCAGATTGAGAAGTTTAGTTGACCATTCTGCTATTGTGGAAAATTGTGTAGTCATCAGGAATGATTCTTTGTTGATTCAGAAAAGCAGCAGCATTACTAAATCATTAGTTTTTCCCAAATATTTCTCATTCAGGTCAATTCTTTTTGGTCTATAAGGCCTACTGAGTTATGGAAGGGTATATATGTGTAATGTGTGTTTGTCTTAGAATAAATTTTGGGGATGAGTAATAACAGCTTTTAACTCTTGTTTACATTATCCCCTTGTCTTTTTTTTTTATTGTGCATTGAGTTGAATGACAGTTATTTCTTTACATGAGTGACATTTTTTTATAGAATCCTATTAACTGGTACATATAAAAAAAATGATACAGTTTTGAGTTGGTAGGAATATTTTTACTCATTCTTAAGGCAATAAAGCATTTACCTATTTAAATCTTAGCTTGTAGCAAATGTTGCAAACTTGAGTAAATTGAATTATAGGATGCCCTTCTGAAAGACAATATAAATGTTAATTCAGCCATCACCTGAATATTTGTCTTTCCTTTTCAAATCATGAAACATTACTGTATGACTTCTTAGCATCTTGAAACTTTCTCAAACACAAGACTACTTAGAACATAAATCTTTATTTCAATAAAGAAACTTTGCATTTTGTAAATATATCTTTTATTTGACGGTAGCAAAGCTTCAAAATTCCTCCCTTTTTTTAGTCAACATGCTTTATAACTTGCAGTGTTTTTCACCTAACATCTTTTTACCTTTTTCTTACCTATCAATGCCAAATTTATCTGCTCTCTATAATTCTCCACTTCTTATTTCTCTCCCTTCTTCTTTTTTTTTTTAATGTTATCACTTTTAAAACTTCTCTTGTAAAGATCACCATTATTCAACTAATTTCTAAAGCCAGTTGCTTTTTTTCAACTTATTTTACCTTTCAATAGCACATTAAATGCTTTTGGTCTTTCACTATTTCATGAAATAACCTGCTTCATTGAGTTCTAGCACACTACCCTCTCCTGGTCCTTTTTGACCTTATTTACTGTCTGCAGCTCGTTTCTAAGCTTATTTCAAGTGCTTTTTCTGGGTTATCTTGTTCACTCCCATGACTTCAGCTACAGTTAGCATCTGCTGTTTGTTTCCCAACTCTCTATTTCCAATTTGTGTTACTTTCCTGATCTTTATAGAGTCATATTTCCTAATGACTTATAAGTCTCAAAAAAAAATTATCATATTCAGAAGCTCTCATTTCTTCTGATCTCTCTTTCTGTGCTCTCATCCCCTCTTCCTTCTGTACTCCTTATTTTAGTTAATGGCATTTCTATCTACTCAGTCTCTCAAGCTGGAAATCTTTCCCTTTTCTTATCATTGCATTAGGGCACCAAGTCTTAATAATTCAAAGTCCTGTATAAATCATTTGTTTATCCCATCTTCTCTGCTTCTGTCATTATCTCAATTTAAACTCTAATCTTTTCCTAGATTTTTGCTGTAATTCTCTAACTAGTCTTCCTATAAATTTAAAGCATTCCATGCAATGTTATCAGAAGTTATCTTTCTAAAATACAAATTTAACCATGCCGGTCTTTCTTTTAAAAACATTTGAATCCTCATTTTTTTCAGAATCAAAATCAAATTCTCCCAAGATGATATTAAGGCAGTCTAGAATAGTGGGAATGGTTTTGTCATCTGATAGACCAGAATTGAGATTCCAGCTCTGCCATATATTACTAGTTTGTAATCTTGAGCAAGTTACTTCTCTCAAGTGCCATTTCCTGAGCTCAGTTTATAGATGACCCTCATATGTAAATTGAGAATCATACTTTATACTTCACGGAGCAGTGGAGAGAATTAAATGTATGTGAATATCCTAGCAGTAGCAACCTCCCACCCCCATATATTGGTTTTCTTCTTTCCCTTCAAAGCCCTCAAATCTGATCCCAATCCCGTGTTTCAAGCCACTCCCCCATCAGTCATTCAGCTTTCTTAACATGTTGTGTATTTGTATTATTATACCTATTTGCTTTTCTTTCTGTACCCTGTCACCCTTTGGTAGTGTTAATTGTCTTTTTATTTGTATTCCAACAAATTTATTAAGATCCTTATTAGCATTTATTACATTGCATTATCATTATCATTATCATTATCTGGGACTTCTATGCCACCCTGTCAGCTCTTTGAGAACTAGTTTTACTTAATGTACTCATTGCCTTATATTCAGTCATGTTGCAGGGATAGCCTTGATTACAGTATAGCCCCATAAGACTGTAAGCTAAGGTCTTTGAACCATAGACCTGTTCATCTCTTTTTCTAGTGCTTCACATAGAAATTATACCTGGCATCTGATAGATTCTGATGACCGTTATTTGAAATTTAGAAAATGTAATTATTAGGTTTTAAAAATAAAAATAACTCCATTATTAAAAGCTTTATGTATTAGGTGCTTCTAGTGACCCATGCCTATCACACATTTGTCCTTATATACCTGTTATTTTTTCATTTTACATGTGAATGTTACATTGTTTCCCAGAATCAAACTCCTCCAGAAAAGTGGAATTTCGAGTTTTTACATAGCATGTTTAAATGAATCTGATTGTAACATGGAACAAAATTATTTTTAATTAACTGTTTAGATTATCTATAGTTTTATTGTGAAAACCACGACATACATTTTTACTTTGTTAACATTGTGTTAACAAAGGCTTTTGTTGTGTTTTGTGCTCTCAAATTAAACTCTTCTCATCAAGAAAAGCCATTTCAGAGAACAGATTAATCAGTGTAGTTTAAGAGTAGGCAATGACCGTATATATGTAACGCTACGTATCATATACAGGAGTTATTTCCATTGTTTTAGAAATAGTTATTCATTTAAAGATGTTTTTGAAACTATCTCGCTCATTTGACTATTCAAACTAAATTATTTTTTAAAAAATGGTAATTGAAATAGAAAGAGAACTGAATTTGGTTTCTAATCCTGGTTCTTTAGCTGAGCAAGTCACATAAGCTCTGAACCTTAGGTTCTTTTATATTTAAGACAAAGATTAGACCAGAAGATCATCTAAGGGATCTCCTAGTACTAAAATGCTGTTTTATGGTTAGGCTTCTCTGTGTTTTTTTAAGAATATAAATTTACTTATGTTAATTACATAAACCCATTTATAACCAGTGCATTGATTTGATTATAAATCCCTTTAGAAAGTGATTGTGTAGTTCCATAATATTTAGAATATGGGCTTAACAAATTATAGTCACTTGGTTTGTTAGTTTATTAGGGGAAATTAAATAGCAAGATCCCTGACTAGTATTGTTTATACTGACATATGACCTGGGGAAAAATTCAATCTCTTTTGTAAGGAGATATTTAATCACTAAGAAGAACAAATTCTTTATATTGGAGAAGGATATTTCCTGTATAGTAGAAACCTCATGTCATAGGAATGAACTTGGATTATTGGGCAGAAATAGGATCTTAAGATAGATTTCCCCCATTGGTCTTAAGTAGAGTCTGGTGCATAGTAGGCTCTTAGTAAGTGTTTATTAAATGACCGTGGTCTGTTCCCAAAAGAAAATGAATTCAGTAGGGGAGGGCCGATGGCCATGCCTTCTACAGGCCCCATCAGGAGCTTGCTTCCACTAAATATGCTCTGCAGCAAGTGACAGTGACGAGTTGAACATAATTGTTAGTGTAGGTATCCTGAGAGTTTGGTTTAGAACACAAAATGTTGGATTTGGACCACCAGTCCTGAGTGTTAATTAAACCAAAGGGAGCTGCATCTAAATGAAAAAGACTTGAATCAACTTATTTGGAACAGTACCTGGATTTTTTTGCCTACCGACTCGATTGACATCAGGATTCACTTGCACATAGAATTAAATCAAAAAAAGCTAAGTCAACTATGTATTTAGATAAGTCTTGAATATGAAACACAGATCTCCCAATACCTCGTAAAAGTGTCCAATACAGGTTTTAAAAATAAATAATTAGAATATTTCAGAATATTATGTCTCTATAATAAGATCCCACAAAAGAGTTTTCAAAGTTTATTTTTTTAGGGGAGAAGGAACTTGATAATATCATATAGAATATCCACTGATCCTAGAGTAGTTAGTAAAGTAGATTTAAAGAAATCGAAGACAAACTTTATATCATTTATAACATTTCACTATTTATGTTGCTTAGTGACCGTAAACTACCAGATCGGAAGCTTTTCCTGCGCACACTCCGAAGGTAATTGCGGTATAACATGACACTAATGACCCGAGCCTGAAATTGTTTTGAAACAATGTAGTAGAGAATCACATCCAGACAGGTGCTGAGGTTCATGAGGAAGGTGGTAAAGGCTCCCCAGGGGCTGTAACTATTCTCATCCCCATTCAACATCAGGAAAGCAAAACAGATGTGGAAAGGCATAAAGCAGACCAGTACCTGCACCATGAGAGTGATGATGATCCTTATAGATTTCTCTTTGACTTTTGGTTTCAGCTTAGATGTCCTACCATGAAGGAGACTGTGAATAATGACCAAGTAGCACCCAATCATAATGAACAGAGGAGTCAAGAAAAAAAATATCAGTCGAGTGAAGTTCAACATGTTAATAGCTTTTAAATGGATGATATCTGAAATCTTCAGGCAGGTGGCAGGGGTGGAGGCTTTATCTGGGTCTTCATAGAGCAGTAGGAGTGGGATGGTGGTTGTCAGGGTCATTATCCATACTCCCACACATGCCAGCACAGCTTTGCACGTTTTTTTAAGTTCTTTGGCATATTTCGGCTGCACAATGGCCATGTATCTGTCAGCACTAATAAAAGCAAGAAGCCATAGTGCAAGACTTGGATAAAACACTGTGAGAGCCCCAAGAATCTGGCAGAAGTACTCTCCAAAAGGCCATTCGCCTTTCACATAATAAAACATTCGAAAGGGTAAGCTCATTATAAATATCAAGTCCAATAATGCCACATTCATCATATAGATCGTTACAGTGGTTCTCTTCTTGGTAGTACAACTGAAAACCCACAAGGCAGTGATGTTAACAAATAATCCAATTATGAAGATACAGCTGTAGAAGACAAGGGCTGCAATTTTGTATTCATCTGGATATGAGCTGTTAGAAGAGCCAGGTTGAGCTTGATTGTGAGAGGTGGTCATCTTATAGCTTGTTGCTGGGCATGACACTTAGAAACTGTAAAATAGTCAAGAAGAATAGAAGAAATAAAATGCACCGCTGAAAAATAAATGTTTAACTTTCTTATACTCAACTTGACATGTCAGTGGATTTTAATTTTGAGAGTATTTTATATTGTAGAGTCGATACATGTTTTAGTATTTATTAAAACATTTCTTAGGTCTTATTACTAATATGTACTAACCTGTTAAAGTGGTATGGTGTATCATAATGCACTGGCAAATTTATTCATTTGCATCTCTCCCTGCCTACCTCTCTTCTCCCCCAAAGGATAACCTTTTCTTTATGTTTTTCCCCTGATAGTGTGAAATTGAGTAGCAATTATACCTTTAATAATCATTCTTTGATTGAGACCAACTAGGGAAAGGCCATTCTGAATTTTGAATCTTACAGTATAGTTTGCCACCTTTTTATCATCATCATTCTGTTTAAATATTTCTTAACCCAGATTAGTAATATCAGATAATGAATTTTTACTTACTAAATAGAATTTTCATCTATATAATATGTAATAGAAAACTAATAAAGGAACCATATAACTGGTTAATTACTGAAGAGTCACAGTACTTCTCATTTGAGTTCAGGAACTTTCCTTTTTTTCTGGTATATCCCCATTGCTTATTGGGTAAATCGTAGATATTCAAGAAGTAAATATTTGCTGAATTGATAGATGAGTGAAAGAAAGAATCTTTTGCTAGGCGTTCCTCAGCAACTACTCTCTAATTTATCAATGAAGACTTGCTTAGTTGGCCATTAAACCTTTTTTTTTTTTAAGTGGTAAACATTTCTTCATAGTATTGTGTACTCTCTAAATTATCATAGGTCTAAAAGCACCACCAGTGTCTTGTGCCATGCTCTACAGATCAAGAATTTGACTCTTAGAACAACAGATGGGCTAGTTCCTAATGCACAGTTGGGAGGGCCTAACGCTGAGTCTTCCAGATGGTGTTTACCATTGTCCTAGAAGCAGATTTCAACTGCTGCAGTGGTACACAGAAAGCACCACCTTGAGAATAAGATATTGTTAATACAGTAAATTTCATGCCCTCACTCTACCTAGATACAGAAGCTTTAATGTTTTATTTGTCAAACTAAATTTTTAAAAGGAATATCAGACAGTTATTAATAAGAAGTCAATAACTTTATGTGTATGCAGAAACTAATTCCCATCGCCAAAAAAATGTCCATTTCTAATAGAAAGGAGTTTAGTGATTATAAATATCATTAGCACCCCACCCCCGTTTCAGAGTGAAACTTTTATTATCCATGATGCAATGCCAACAACAGTGATTTTAAAAATAGAGTCACTACAAAGAGATGGAACCTTGTGGCATCCCTTGAAATATGGAGGTGTAAGAAAAGTTTCCTTCAAAAATGTCATTTGCAGAGTGGTCTGTCTCTAATTCAGCCCCAAATCTCTCTTTAGTGAAAATTGTGGGGGAGACTAGCATTCTGGTCAGTGACATCATGGGCTATTGATAATTTAAAATTAATTTGAGCAATTGTTGTGGACAAAAACAAAATTTGAGTTTGTTTTTCCCCTATTTCCCTCCCACCCTCCCTCTCATCTCCTTTCCTTACTTCCTGACTACAGCTAGTTTGCCAAATATTTAGGTTAAATATGATTTTGGAATAGATTTCTACATATTTAAAAGCCTGTTTTAATTAAAATATTATATTTCCAAATATTGGTGTGACTAAACTATTAATTTCTATCAAATAAGAAAAGTACTACATAGAAAAACCAAATCTCCAGTATCATACAAAGGAGAAAAATTTTGGAGGTTTGACTCTTATTTTTAACTTTCAGTGAATTTTTAAATAGTAGCAATTGTAAAGTAAGTGAAAAAAAATTTTTGCCCCTTTTAATATTAGGACACTCTTCAACCTGTTCTCATCCCAAATTCTGCCACATAAATTCTGTACTTACAAACCATTTTTGAGTAAGTCTTTTTCCCCATTTTGGGCTCAGACCTGCTTTTATGTAGCCAACACTTGTATTCATTTACTTAAGGTTGAAAAAAACGTGTGTGATGCATGTGTTTTAAAGGCATTGCTGGTATAGGTTGTGCTCTGCACACACAGGCAAATTTTTGGATGAATATTGAAAAGTGATTGGCTTTCAAGTCAGCATTTTAAAAGTTTTTGATTCCATGATTATAGTCTTTTCTTAAAAACCTATAAGTACATTTCGTGAAACAATATAATTTAAACCAAGTGACAACTCTTAGATATACTTATGATTTATCATATCAACATTTTCCTTAAGTTGAAAAATTATATTTACTAGTAATGTAAAACAGTGTTGAAAATAAGTAAAAAATTGTATTAATGCAGTAAGATGACAGCATAACCCAATTCAAAGTCCTTCACCAATATGGTTTCAGTAATATATTATTAAAATAAAACAGTGATTTTGAAATTTAGTAAGTACAACATTACTTCTTATAATCTGTGAAGTTAATTAAATGTGACTTACCTCCTGTCCATCAAAAGGCTGTATTAGAGAGCAGTGTTTTCAGTATACCCAGTTCTGTAAAAGAAATATCTTTGAGTTTCTTGTGTTAAAATTGCTCTTTCTAGAAATGGTATATTTAAGAAATGCTGTATTTCTTTTGTTTTAGGCTTTTCCGTTGCTTTAAAAGTTGTTTCAAGTATGATACTGGGTATAGGAGTTATTACTCTTTCGGCTGTAATTGTTGCTTTGCCTCTTTCAGGAAGTACTCTCTGAAATGAGGCTTTTTCAGCTTATGACTTTACCCTGGATGTGGTTTTTCTCTTTCAGAAATGATTTGTTTATGAAGTCATGCTCAGAATAAGCTCCACTTGAAATGATGGCATATATTAAAGAGAATCATACAACAGTGTCTTCAATTTGTTTACTTTGTTTACTTCAAGTCTGGATCATCTATTGAAAGAGTATCATATTTGATATTGATTAGAATGGGTTTCATAGTATGGCTTCTTTACTTTCTAAGCTGTGTGACTTTGTCTAGTTACCTACCCACTCTGAGCCTTCGTTTCTACTTAGTTTCTATACAATTAAAATAGAGATAATACCCTTCTGATGGGATTGTGAGCACTATAAACCAGAAAAATCCCAAGGGTCAACATAATAAAAATCCCAAGTGGTTAACATAATACCTGGCACTTAGGCATTTGAAAACAGAGTTAAGCTGCTACAACAAAGTTCCTAAAATCATAGAATATCCATTTTTTACTGTTAAAACATTTCTAAATGATTAAAATTGGAACCCTCAATTATTTGCTTCTGCTTTGCATATACATTTACCCACTTTGGTTTGCTTTATTTTTTAAGTCCCCAGTCAGTGCTTCATATCCCTTTTATGTCATGTGGGAATCTAGAAATAATTCCTTGTGTATAAACATCCCTGCAATTGCTAAGAAAGGATTTTGAAAGTCTTTAGTGGAATAATTTACATATTAGGAGTATTTTAACCCAAGAAGGGAAGTGAAACCAATGGAAAGGGAAGTAAGCAACCCTAATAATTGCCTGCCTAGTTATATTAATTTTTTTACTTTCTCTTTTCTTAAAAAAAAATCTCATTTGTTTGTCCTAAAATTTTAATTATCTTTATATTTGGTTATGCATGATTTTTCAGCTTTTAAAAGGCACACAAAATTAACTATTTGTTTTTTGAATCTTTTTTTCCGCAGACAAAACAGTAGTAAGTCTGTGACTTGTAAAAGTTATTTGAATCCTTGCCTTTGGTGACTAACTACTTTTGATTGTGATAACCTAACTGCCAGAATAATGGGGTTTAGAAGCATTGGCAACAACTAAAGCAACTGTTTCTCGTGTAGATGAAGTTTTAAGGCCCGGCAAGGCCGGCAACTTGCTGAGGAGCCCAGACAGCTAGGCCCCTCTTCTTCAGGTGCTGAGCTCAGTGTCCTCCCTTTTCTGCCCTAGCTGCTGTAATAACTTCTTGTTATGAGGTGATTACACTGATATATTCACTAGACAGGATTTATTCGTTGCTGAATAAATTACAGTAATTAGTTTTTTAATACATAGAGTTATGTTTCCTATGTAGTATAGGAGTTTGATATTTCAGCTGGAGTTAGAAACCTCTTACCTGTGGATCAGTCTTTTCATTACCTTAATTTCATATAGCCTGTGGCAAGGTTTCTAAAATTAAGTATTGATTAGCATCCCCTGTGCTGCTCAAATCTGCAGATACAATGATGGCATATCTTATTAAGCATATCTTATTAAGACTTGAGTCCTTTATCGTACACAGGGAGATTAGTTTTTTTGACTCGCCAGTCTCTCAGAGGCAACAAGGGGCAAGTTAGGAAATCCCCATGGGCACAGCTCGAGGGTGGATCAGCTCTCACCTTCCCACCTTCCTCTTCATTTTAGCTGTGTGGGACTTTCTGCATATGCTCTTCTTTGCCTTTCACATGCTATTCCAACCTGTAACATTCCTTACCACTGTACTCCCATCTCTTGGCTTGGCCATTTGCTACTTATAGTTTAAGTTTAAATAATGCCTTCTCCAGGAAGTTTTCTCTGCTCTCTGAAGCTGGATTGGTTATTCACCCCTGTAAGTTTCCTTAGCACTTGGTACTTACCCCTGTAATGCATGTGTTTGTGTTATTATTACATATCTACTTGCCTTTTATCCTCCAGTAAACAGAGATCTTTCAGGGTTGGTATGTGTTGTATATAACAGGCTTTTAATAAATATTTCTTGAATGTGTGACTGAAAAAGTAGGTGAAGAAATGGAAGCTTGAGGAAGGGACAGATAAATTACTGAGCCAGGTGTCAGTATCAGGGATACTTTGACCAGCTTATGTGCGGGGCCCTGCCAACCACAGAGCAGATGCAGAGACTGAGGCAAGGAGCATGGAGGCAGGGACCACCCTCTCCTACTCTCTATGACCCTCATAGCACTTAACATCACTCTCTGTGTTCCTCTTCACAATAACTTTATGCTGGAAAAGAATTACAGCGAAAAAAAATTTCTCCAAACCGTTTGGCAGCAAGTAAACTTTTTTAGTATCTAGTTTGCTTCTTTAATACTTAAACCTAATGAATTTTTATTCAAATAGAAGAACTTGCCTTACTCAAGTTCATAAAAGCATTCATGCTGCTTTTATTTTGGAATATGAGAATATGAAAGAAATTCTTCACCTTACAAAAGAGGGATTTTATGGATTCCCAGAGTCTACAGAGTTCCCTTCGCATTATGAAATAATCTGTTTAAGCTCCATTTTGAATTCCAGGTTAGATGTTAAAAGCCCTAAGTGATTTTTTTATTTTAGCTCTTGAGCCCAGTTTGAGTGAATATAATATAGTTAAGTTAAGCCAATTTTATAATTATTAGAAATGATGTAGTTAATAGATTTACACAGTAAATCCCCATTACAAAACATGCTCCCGTATTAGAGATTGGCCTGTGCCACAGATAAAATTATATTTCCCATTCTTAACCTATTTTTCTTTACCACAGCAAGTGTAATGGGGGCTTATCCCAGTTCCTCAATGGGTATCGTTATGAGGGAACCCAGCACAGGTGGCTGGCAACACATAAATTCATAGTGGTTGGTAGACAGCCAATCTCCAGAAAGAAGAAGGGATGAGGGAAATGAGGAGTGCTCCGAACTAGGGTGAGAGTTATCATTTAGCCCGTAAGGTCTCCCACTTTATGTTATAAAATCTTGTCCCTCACTCCTCTCTTTTTCAAACTTGTATCTAAACTTACTGCTTTTTTATTTTTTAGGGGAGAGATATGTTGAATAATGGTTTCTAGATAAAGAAGATGGAGATGCCCTTTGCCTAAATCTGTTTTTTAAAAAAATTCCAACAACTTATTATCTTACAGCCAAATTAATATGAACCTCCACTCCACTTGACATCCTAAATTGTATTATAAATTTAGCAATTCCCAAATTTCTTTTTCTGGGCAATTTTTGTGCAGTTTTAAATTTTTATAGATGTCTAGACAATCAATTACTTACCTTTAATTTTTATAGATGTGTAGACAGACAATTACTTACAACAAACAAGTTGAACCCAGAAAACCAAAGTGATAGATAATTTTAGTTAAAATAGATCGAAATCAGCAACGAAAGTAGGATTCCCTAAAAGATGTTAAAGATTCTCTCACTCAGAGGATCTTAGGAGAAGGCTTCTACCTGGCAGTGAAATCAGTCTTGTACCCACTGAAATCCTGCAGGACCTCAGGCCAAGAGCTTGCAGTGTGACATTTCACTACCTGACTGGAGAGCCAGAGTCTCCAGGACAAATGACTGAGGAGAACTCTCTGGTTATTTTGATACACATGGCTACCTCTTGCAGATTCTGATCTCACAGTTAAAGGAGATGGTATATACATATGGACATGAGTGTACAGGGAAAAATACCTAAAAAATATGAGGAAGTAGCAGTTTAGAAGAAAGAAATGTTGTGGAGAGTCAGGATTCATAAAGGAACAAGAGATGTTATTGAATTACTTAAATACAAACCTGTATACTAGTGCGTGTGTGATTGAGAATTTTAGTATACAGACATTTGTATACTAAAGAGTAACTACATGTCTATACATATTACTCAGAAGAACTGTTTACAGAAGGTGATTGTTTTAAAAATAGTTTCTTAGTGTTTTTTTTTTTAATCCCTGCTATTACCCATACCTGTATTATCAGAGATAATCAGAGATAATCATCAAGCAGGAGTTTAAGTGCTTTACATGCGTGGTCGAATTTAATCTTCATGCTGACAGCAAAGTATGTTGAGGACACAATAGTAGTATGGGTGGTGTAACCCAGGAATATTTATTCATGATTCTCAGATTGTAAGGTTGTGTCGTGTTTTAGTAATTTTTGTTGAAGTTGGTCCTACTTAGTAGAGAATCATCAGCATAGTATTTGATCTGTAGCAAAAAGTCTCCTGAGGGAATAGACCATCCTTTCTTTTCCCTCTTTCTCACTAACAAGTTGATACTCCCAAGGAAAGGTTTTGTACCTGGGTTCTGTCAGCCTGTAAATTTAATTCTGCGGCTTAGGAAGATCTCTGCCATTCAATGGGCCAAAAATTTCTAAGCACTCAAAAATGAGTATATCCCAGTGGCTGGTAAACATGTAAGTATGTTCAATCTCATAAGTAATCATGGAAACAAAAACTAAAACCATGATAGGTTATTATTACCCGCTCATCTAAATGCCTACAGTGAAAAAAACTGACAACATGAATATCGGTGAGGGTATAGAGCAACTAGAAACTCTTGTGCATTGTTGGTGGAGTGTTTAAATTTGGAAAACAGTTGAATATTAAGTACTAAAATGAATATACATATATCCTATGATTAAAATTCCACTCCTAGATACAAATGTATGTTCCTATGTACCAGGAGACATAGATTAGAACGTTCATAGTTGTTATTTCCAGTAACTCCAAATTAAGAACAACACAATTATTCAACAGCTGTAGAATAGATAAATCAGTTGTGGTGTAGACAATTAGTGCTTTTCCCAGTCAAAATGAATCATATAGTAGGCACATGCAACAATATGGTGAATCTTGTATCTATAGTGTTAAATGGAAAAGACAAGACATAAAGGAATTCATATTGTATGATTCCAATATATGAATTTCAAAAGCAGACCAAACAATGCTTAAGGATTTATGCTCAGGTGATAAAACTTTTTAGTGGTTTGCAGGAGCATGCAACAGTAAGGAGGGGACACCGGGAGAACTTCCAGGATGCTAACAAGTTCTGTCTATTGACCTACGTACCAATTACTCTAGTATTTGTTCTGTGATAATTTATTAAGCTGTATATTTTTGTTTCGTCCTTGTATCCATAAGGGTCTCAATAGAAAACAGATGGCATACTTAGAATAATTCAAGGAGGGCTTATTTAT